TCATTTTATTTATTCTATTTTTTTTTTTTTAATGTGAAGTATTTTTTGTCTTTCTTCAAGGTTGTATTTTTAATCTTCAAGTGCGCACTGTGAAGAACAGCCATTTCAGAGACCTAGGAGATCCTGAGACCTCCCCAAATTCTGGGCGCAGTGTTGGTCAATGTGATACTTCTCCTTGCAGTTTAATGAAATGTGGCAATGGTGGAACATGCACAGAGAGTGGATCTACTGTTTAGTGAGTATAATATTATTAGGAAAGTAAGTGGCAAATTATTTGCATTCTAACTGGTAACATCACTGGTACAAACAGGGAACACAAACCTACATTCACATTTACTGTGTTTCCATGTTGACTTGCTGAATGACAGGACAGATAAAGACAACTAGAAATAAGGTCAGCATAAAATTGTTATCATTTGTCAAATCCGTTAAAAAATAAAAATGAGTTACCAATCTCATTCCAGACACCATGGAAAAGATATCTTAAAACTCGAAATATTGAGACAGTCTCCAGAGACATCAACCACACAAACATTTATAGATTGGGATTTGTTTTCATATTTAGGTTTGAGCTCCTTTAGAAAGGGTCCTCTTGAGGTGGTACTAGTGCAGTTGCATGATTTAACTTCTGAACTACTTTATTTTAAAGAAAATGTGGCCCTGCTGAGTGGGTGGAAAATAACAAATAAATAACTTTTAAATTATATTTTATATTTTTATATTTATTTAATATATATTCATAAATACAATTAGAATATGTTCTATATTGTAATGTATTATATTTTATAGTATATTATAATATAGATATATTTTCTACATATATTTAATTATTATAAATAATTTTTAAGTAAATTTTATTGAGCATCTGTTTTATATATAAGTAGTATACAAAGGGCTCAGGGAATATTCCAAAGAAAGAGGAAGTGTGATAGTTAATGTTGTGTGTCAACTTGGCTGGTCTGTAGTTTTAGGTGGCTGGGCAACTGGATGTAGTTATTCCCTATGATGAGACTGTAATCACCTCCATGGTGGAATCTGCTGCAAGCAGCTTTCAGGGTGTGGCCTGCTTCTGGTATATAAGGAGAAGCTTTGAGCAAAGTCTCAAACTGTTCGGTGTATTTGGATCCTGCATTTGGCCACGTCTTCATCCAGTAACCTACTCTGTTGCGTGCCGATCTTGAAACTGTTCCTGGACTTGAACCAGTGGCCTGCCATGTTCTTTGTTGATCTTGGGATTGTGCCATGTCAAACTTGGGTTCATTGGCAATTTTCCTGTTGCTCCCTCCCCAGAAGGCTTCTGTTACCAGAAGTTGCATGAGTTACAAGAAGTTGCATGAGTTACAAGAAGCCTCCAGCTCGTGAGCCTGGAATAAGAGGCAGAGCTGTAGCCTAAGGTCAAGGGGCCTTCACCTGGCCCCTGGAGCTGGCATCTGAATTTGGACTCCTAGCCTCCTAAACTGTAAGAGAATAAATTCCTGTTTGTTAAAGCCATCCACTTGTGGTTTCTGTTACAGCAGCACTGGAGAACTGAGACAGGAAGTTAGCACTCTGTCCTTCAATTTCTTGCACTCCAGCTATTCATGAATCTCTTAGGTCTCAAACATTTATGAGACAGCTAGGAAAGTGATTTGTCAAATTGTTTCCCACAGGAGACATCAGAAGGAACTTCCTCCACTGACACCAGCTCACTGCAAAGCAACTGGGGAGGGGGAGTATGAGAATCTCCTGTGAAAGAAAGGATCAGAAGGAAGTGTGGTTTTGAAAGCCCCAAGTGAATCTCTTTGCTTCCCCTCCATCTTCTCTCTAGAAAGTGGTCAGTAGCAAGAGTCAAACAACTGGTAATCACAGCACTTGGGAGTGGTAACAGAAGCCTTCTGGGGAGGGGGCAACAGGAAAATTAAGATGGTCGTTCGATCTTGCCATATCCTACCAAAAACCCTCCAGTGTTTTATCAGAGCACACAGAGTGATATCTGAACCCTTCACCACAGTCTACAAGGCTTTACATGATCTAGCCCCTGAAATCCCTTGAACCACCTCTCTTAACCCTTGCTTACTATTCAAGCCCAATGAGCCTACTTCTTTTCCTTGAACCTACCAAGCTCATTTCTGCTTCAGATGTGTGCACTGCCTCTTCTAGAGTGCTTGTCTTAGTTTCTTAGTACTGCTACAACAGAAATACCATAAGTGAATGGCATTAACAAACTGAAATTTATTTTCCCACATTTCAGGAGGCCAGAAGTCTGAATTCAGGGTGCCTGCTCTAGGCCAAATGAGCTCTGGTGGCATAATGCCTAAGGCATTTGACTGCTAACCAGAAGGTTGGCAGTTCAAACCCACTAGCCACTCCACAGAAGAAAGACTGGGCAATCTACATCTATAAAGATTTACCACCTTGAAAACCTATAAGGGGGTTGCTATGAGTCAGAATCAATTCAATAGCAGTAAGGAGTTTGTTTGTTGTTTTTTTTTTCCTCTGGGCCAACACTCTCTTTGTCTACTCCGGGGAACAAAAAAAAAAAAAAAAAAACTCTTTTGTCTTCTTTTCCTGTTTTCTTTGGTGATCTCTACAAGGCATCAATCTTTCACTATTTGTGCTTGCTTTTTTCTATACTCAACCCACTCTTTTATATCTCAAAAGTCATTGGCTTAAGATACACCCTATACTAATATCTCCTCACTAATATAAAAAAGAAAATAAGGCTGGCAGTTCAAACCCACCAGCCACTCCTCAGAAGGAAGGTTGGGCAATCTACTTCTGTAGGGATACGGCCTCAGAAACCCTAGGAGGGGTCACTATGAGTCGGGTCCAACTCCATGGTACATAACAACAACAACAACAGATGGGATTACATGCACAGGGATGTTGTTATGTGCTATCAGTTGACATTGATTCATAGCAACCCCTTTGACAGAGTAGAACTATCCCATAGGGTTTCCTAGGCTATAATCTTTATGGGTGCAGATCAACAAGTCTTTTCTCCTGCAGAGCCCATGGATGGGTTTGAACCACCAACCTTATGGTTAGCAGCTGAATGTTTAACCATTTTGCCACCAGTGCTCCTCTCCACAGCTATACTGCTTAGGATTTACATGTATTTTGGGGCCTTTGTCATCACTCTCTATTTGGCTGCCTCCTTGTTGTCATTGGCTCAACTATAACCTCTTCAGAAAGGCCTTTTTAACCCTCCCAAAACTATCCCTTTCTTTAGTCATTCTTTATCACATAATCATGTTTTATTTTCTCCATAATATATCACTCTTCAATTTTGTTTTGTGCATATATTAGTTGCTATTTTTCCCCAAAAGTAGATCTGATTTCTCATGCTACCATTATGTTCCCTGTGCCTAGAATAGTGCCTAGTACACAAAAGGCTTTCAGGAAACATTTGTTAAAAGAACAAATGAATGACTATTCAATGAAAAGTGAAAGGAAACTTCATAATAAAGATTCTGAGCAAAAGAACAAATGCAAAGACAAGCAAAGTGTATAAGGTCATGATAATGAAGCCAAATTATTTTGTTGATTAATTATGAGAAATTAGATATGAGAATATTTTGTTGATTAGTTATGAGAAATGTGACAGGGAAAGTATGGAAGGTTGAGTGAGGGCTTACATAGTAGATAACTAATTTGATTTATCCCAAGAACAAGACATGAACAATCTTGAGAGGAAAGAGCCATGATAAAGACCAAAAACCCATACCAAACTCATTGTCTTCGAGTTGATCCTGACTCATAACAGCTGTTTGAAAGCCATTCCTTTACAGTGCCAGTATTGGGGTGGAGACAGCGACTAGGAAACTGTTTTGGAAATGTAGATCCTTTATAAAGGGCCTGAACTTAAGAAATGGCTGTAGAAAAGAAAATAATTAATTTAAAAACTATTGCAGAAAAACATCTACGGCATGTTGGGACTTACTGAATAAGAGACTGTGGTTGGATGGTAAGAAGGAAGTCAAGTCTAAATTAATCCAAACCTCCTGTGTTAGAAAAGTTAAGGAAAAAAAGTTTAAAATTGGGCTTCTAGAGGATGGTTTTTTTAATATTCTTATTTCATTTTATTTCATAGCACAAGGTTTAGAGTTAATTGAAATCTGAAACAAATTAATTAGAAAGAATATATTTGGCCTTATAAAGAATTGAAATTCATATGCAGTGATATTGAAGCAGATAAAATAGGTTAGTTCTGTTGCTACAGAAAGAGTAGAGGCACCAATCCTGATTCCAGACAAAATAGGACTCAAGTCAAAAAGCATTAAATTTGGCAATGAAAGGTATGTTTTAATGATAAAAAGCTACAATTCATAACAAAAATAAACACATAAATATCTATACACCAAGTATCACAGCACACTAATAATAGCTTTTAAAACATCATTTTCAAGTATAAAAATAATAAGAGAGGATATAGAAGATATAACAAACATTAAATCAGAAACTGAAAAGATTAGTTACATACAGGCAGTATGGGAACAGAGTGTAAAAAATGAGGGGATGGTAATGGGGTAGTAGGAGCAACATATTTTTGAGTACCAACTTTTTTTTAGGCTTTGACACTATTTTTTTTTTTTTAATTGTGATTTGGGTGAAAATTTAAAGAGCAAATTCACTTTCCATACAGCAGTTCACATACACTTTGTCTCATGATATTGACCACAATTTACCACAATGCAACAGCTTCCCTCCCACTTCCTCCCGATAGTTACCTCTTCCCTGTGTCCACTATCCATGCACTCCTACACCCTGAGCTGTCTCCCTGTGCATAAACAGCCCTTCTTTCTCCCATGGTTGTTCTCTCTAAGGAGTGTATCTACCTTAGGTAAATGTTCAACTCATATGCTTGTCTTTTGTTTGGCTGGAAGCACAAGTGTGGGTTCAATTCCAGACCTGAAGGGCATCTAAGGGCCATAGTCTCAGTGGTTCCACCAGGCTCTGTCGGACCAGCAAACCTGGTCCCCCTCCTTTTTTTTTTTTTTCCTACAAATTATTTTGAGTTTTGTTCCATACTGTTCTCCCTCTCTACCAATGATCTCCTACATAGATCCCCTTCTAAGTGGATGACAGTGGTAGCCGGGCACCATCTAGTTCTTCTGGTCTCATAGTCATATAGGCTGCAGATCGGATGGTGTACCAGTCACTAGGACTAATTGTTTCCAAGAATTTTTGGTTTTCTTCATTCTTCTTTGCTCTGGACAAGGAGAGACCCATTGTTGCATCTAAATGGCAGCTTAC